CTACGCAAGGTGGCTGCTAGAAACTGGATGCGTGTACCCGGAGATCGGACTAAGTGGTACGCCTTGGGAGAGGCCTATGTCCAGCATTGGACTGCCATAGGCTGACGATGATGATGATGATTGAGCTCATAACACATTAATAAAACTAATAATACATGTTACTTAATTAAAATACTATTTACATAGTACAAAGAATGTATTTATCCGAGGGGTGGTGATCCATAATAAATGTTTGTACCTAGGTTGAACACCTAGTTTGAATACAACAAAATTTTTATATTTCTTTAAGCTGTGTTTTATCAAATTGTGGTTAAATTTACAGTTTATATACTTACCCCTGCTTGGCACGGGCCTGTTATATACATATAGGATAGGGTTATGGAGAAATTAATGCGCCGCGCTGCTCCATTACGTGTTGGCAGATTCCACATCTCATAATATTTAATTTCGCAGCACTAAATCCAATTAGACAAATTCCAAAATTTTATTCCCTTCTCCTGATTGATACCCGATTTAAAGAAGTATGGTGTACTCCGTTAAATTGGATAAAAAATAGCGGTAAAATATAATACTTAAACGTTACTCAATTTTAAGACGTGGTTAAGTCTCACGGTGTCACAGTCAATTTGACTTAAAGTGATAGAGACAGTACGAGACTTATTGACCGTTTGAGTATTTGGGAATGAGGGCTAATAATTTTCTGCTCACCAGATGTCGCTTGTTGACACTGAGGTAAGGTTTTTTGTCACACAATGTCATTTAATTTAGAAGTTAGATTTAAATAAAATTTTATCAGATTCTAGAGTATTGTATTAATATACAAAACAATGCCTCGAGCCTGGTTTGCTCTGTAATTTTTTGCACATTTTAATTTTTTAAATTTTTTATTTGTTTGAATATTTGTGGTTTGGTTTTTTTATTTTCTAATAATCTTATTAATATAAGATATAGTTAATACTACAGAAAGAAACATTAACCTTTACATTTTCCGAACAAATTAACTTCCCCGCTATGAAATCTGTCAAATATTATACCTCAATTTTAAGTAGCGCCGCCCTAGTGGTAGAAAAAGTCGTGGATAATTAGTCTCCTCCATTCTCAGCACAATTTATTAAAAACACCTACATGCGAATAAAGACTATTAATTAAGCTCTTTTCATATACTATTTAATTAAAAAAAATGAGATAAAAATGCAATGAAACACTAAAAATTTAGACTTTACTTTTTTAGGTGATAGAGGTACTAGCATTTTATTTCTTATCCTGAAAGCAAATATTTTTTTTCGCCACCACCATTATCAGCCCGTAACAGTGTACCCCTGAATACCAGGGAAAGCAAACACTGAGTAAAATTAAAGAATCGTACGTGTATAACAGATACAAAAGGAAGCATTTTAAATGACGTTACATTTGTGCAGGGAGTATATGCAAATATTGGACTGGAGATAGTTCCACATGAAGTTAAATAAGTAAGCCGTGAGCAAATCCCTAAAGGTCGCGGCATACGACATTCGGCGAGCCTTTATTTTACCTTCTCAGTAACCACACTCTATTAACAGGGTGATTATAATATTATAAGAGTTTTCCTATGCTAAGTATGTAAAGGTATTTTGGTCGGTGTCAGCAGTTTGTGTCTCATTCGTTGATTAGTAAGCTCAACGTCTTACTAATCAACGAATGAGACACAAACTGCTGACAACTTCCCAGCAAATGGAGATTTTTTGTAATTATCATCTGATCATATGTTGATATTTCGCTTATGTTACAAAATACTTATTTGTACAACAACGCAACGCAAGGCATAGTGGTTATCTTACTACTACGTCGCAGGTCCTTAGTACGAATTCTAGTGGTAATTCTAAAAAATGAGCAAAACATAAATGTAGTTGGTATTTTGGTCTGTTTTATTAGTATTTGTCATCATATCTCCGATATTATAATTCAGCCTACTTTTGATCTCATCGCATAAATGTTGCATCGGACGTTGGTTTGTTGTCATGTCTCACAAAATATCAGAGTAAAATAACAAGATAATGCTCGAAAAGAAAACCTGATACTTTTTTTAGCTGCTAATGAGACATTATAACAGCACCCAATATTCCAGTCTTTACGGATGACGATGAATCTGCATTTTCATTCCTAATCGACGATAAATATAATGTATGCATTTTTGCGCCAAGGCACCTACTTATGACAGTGTGCTTGTTTCTCATCGTTATTTGTCTCTCTTTTCAAACATGCGTAGCCGCGGACAGAAACTAGGAATATAGCAAACAATTAGATTATCAAGAAATACAATAAACAAGATTTGTATCATTGCGTTTCATGATTCATTTACATTTTAAAGCACCCTGTGTGAGTCTGAAGTGGGAAACATTTGACACAGCTTCATAATATATGAGACGAGTTAACAAGCATGTAGTTACTGGCTACCTCAGATGACGGCAGCCCTTTAGGGAATATCTGTACGATTACACGAATGTGGAAATGGCTTTATATTGCAATTTGAATAGCTATATTTTAATATTATCTTTTATTTTTGATGATATCTTATTTTACGTTACAGATGAATCTGCTTATTTTCTCTGCTTAATACTAAAGGATAAAAACTGAATTACATCATTGAATAAATTTATATTTATTCAATGATGTATATAATTCAGTTTTTATTCCTTATAATTCTTTTATTTACTAAATATTCAACGCATGTTGTGATTACCCATAAAAAGAAATACAATTATAATGTGTTTAATTTGTTATGTTCATCATTGTATTACTTGTATTACTTTTGTAATTTTTGTTGATAATCCTAATAAATAAATAAATAAATCATTTTGTAGGTGATATTTGGTCTGAACGTAAGGCAGAATTAATAGGCCAAGAACAATCACTAATACGATAAACAATTCTGATGTTCTAACTTTGCAGCAATTATATTGGAGAAAATACTTCTCATAACAAAGTTCCTGTGCTTCGAATCCGTTATCTTTTATTCATTTCTTTCTGGTATATGTCAATCAATTACTAACTTATATTTATCTACATTGTATGTTATTTTAAAATAAAGCCGGGTTTCTTGTAATAACTTTTATGACAGGATGTTTCTGAACTAGTTATAATGGCACAAAATACTTTATATAAGTCTTATAATAGAAAAAAAATTGTGTCATGTTGTGGTGGGGTAAGTAAAACCATCAACCCATTTCGTCCCATAAAAAAGAATAATATGTTCTGTATGGCGGTGATAATGTATGGTTTCCGGTAGGTGGCGATATAATTGTCTCTTAACGCCATTACACCAGGCGTAAAATACCTACACTGGAGACGGAAAAGCAGAGCGAAAGGTGCGGGAAGTATAGTATTGTCTACCAACTGTTATATTTTCTCCACAATGAAAGAGAAGAAACCTTTAACCTTCCTCGGTTCTTCGGGTCATATTGACCCGAAACTGAAATTTAACTGTCAATAAAAGTCGTAATTATTAATATATTTTACTAAGACTTTATGACAATTATTTCATTATGCATTCACTATATATTATTATTGTAAAATTATGGTGAAGTCTCTTATTAAATTAAGTTTTTTCCGCCTTAGGTTCCTCGGGTCAATAATACCCGAGTATGAAAAAGGTCCTCGGGTCAGAAAAGCCCGTGTTTTGCAAACAATAATGCTTTGTTGCATTCTAAGAATACACTGAAAATGTATAAATGTTAGTAATATCTTCATTACTTAGCGTGTTATTGTTGAAGGTACTTTGAGAATAATTGTTAATTTACATTAGTATGCCGGTAGATTACATTATTTACGTGTGACAGTTACTTTTATTTGATTCATTCGTTGTTTGGACTTGATGTGTTTCGTTGGTGTTTGAAATGGCTCACAATTTGACTGATTCTGCGATTTCGCAAATCGTAAAGTACGATATAAATTCCGAAGATGAAATAATTAGTGAAACGGAGAATAGATTGGATGAAAATCCTATCGACAATATTCAACCCAGTTTATACAGTGAAAGCAGTAGTGACGAAACAAATAGCGATGAGGAGCCTCTTTTAAGATACGTTACCAATACCAGTGCTAATGAAAACCAAATGCTATCAAAAATGGTGAATTTGTATAGTCAAGAACCCCATTAGAAGTCAGAGGTCGTTTGAGTAGTGCAAACCTAATAAAACTTCACCAGGCATTACCAGGTATGCTTCTAATCGCATAAATACATTTAGAAGTTCTTTTGATTTATTTCTAAATAAGCGTATAAAATCTATAATTTTGAAACAAACAAATATAGAAGGTTCTTCACGTTTCGGAAATGGATGGAAAGCGTTAGATGAAACTGAGTTAGATGCATATCTAGGTATTCTTATTTTTGCTGGAGTTTTCAAGTCTAACGATGAAAGTTTAGAAAGCTTATAGAAGACAAATTTCTGCGATTTTGCGTTTTGATAAACGTTCTGACCGAGAAGCAAGAAAACAGAGTGACAAATTAGTAGCTGTGAGAAATATGTGGGATGAATGGGTGAAGCTGTTGCCTATGTTTTATAATCCAAATATAAATATCACAATTGATGAACAGTTACTTTCATTTAGAGGTCGATGTCCTTTCCGACAATATATGCCAAGCAAACCAAGTAAATATGGCATAAAATGTTGGATATTGTGTGACAGTGAAACAGAATACGTTCGTTCAATTCAGTGTTATACTGGAAAACTCCAAGGAAGTGCTCCGGAAAAAATCAAGGAATGCGTGTAGTTTTGGATCTGACAGAAGGTTTACAGGGCTACAACCTTACATGTGATAATTTTTTTACATCTTATAAATTAGCTGAAAAACTTTTAGATCGTAAACTTACTATTCTTGGAACCTTACGGGAAAATAAGCGACAGATACCCGTAGATCTTTTAGATACGAAGAAACCTGTGATTTCATCTACTTTTGAATTCAATTCAAAAATGGTTCTTGTCTCATACATTCCGAAAAAAAAAACAAAAATGTAATTTTGTTGAGCACAAATCACAACAAAATAGAAATACATGAATCAGAGCAGAAGAAACCAAAAATGATCATGGACTATAATGCAGCAAAGGGTGCTGTTGATTTTCTAGACAAAATGGTTTCGGCCTATAGTTGTAAACGAATGACTAGAAGGTGGCCAATAGCCATATTTCATAATATGATTGATATTTCATGTTTCAATGCTTATGTATTATACTGTGACACCCACCCAGACTGGAAACAGAAGAGAACAGTACAAAGACGGTTGTTTCTAGAGAAATTAGCCATGGAATTGGTAAATCATCACATCGAGCGTAGGAAAACTCTTCCTTGGACAAATGCTTCACTGGAATTAGTACTACGAGTGCAGTCAGGTGTTACTGAGACAACGAATACTTCCACTACTCAGAACTCTAATAAAAGAAAAAGGTGTAGTGTATGTCCATCTTCAAAAGATGTAAAAACTTCAAAAATCTGTAAAAAATGTAAGAAACATACATGTCCAAAATATTCTGAAATTTTATGCCTTTTGTGTTGCCAAGAAAATGAGTAATATACAAATATAGTCGTTTATTGTATCCTTATTTTTATTAAATAAATGTGTTTTAGAAATAATTAGATTTTGTATTTAATTTAAAACAATTGCTTCATATTTTTGATATCGGGTCAACATGACCCGAAGGCCTCACGTGTAAATAGTATTTAAAGAACCGAGGAAGGTAGGGACTTTTCTCATGACACTACTTTAAAAAATATTTACAAATTTAAGTTACAATAAGTAGATAATCATCACCGAGCTTGTATTTATATTTAAGGCTCCTAGTGTTTAGCCCCTGGATATTGGCAGCTTGCAACCGCTGAGGACTACCGCGCAATATTCCCATCACCTTGTATTTCTCCAATATGTTTGCTTCAGCTATACAAAAGCTGTAATCAACTGATAGCGGGGTCTCGATCCAAAAATGCTGGACCAAAATTTTACAGGCTGGTGGCAAGCAATAGCATTATAGAGTATCGGGTCTACGGCTGTAAATCATCCAAATAATATTGCTAGCTAGCGCATTCTTAGAAAAGCTTATGCCCAGCAATGGACTTAAAATATTTGGAGATATTTTTATAGGATAGGGTGACAAACGAGCACACAGTCCACCTGATGGTAAGTGGATGCTGCGACCCATAGACATCTACATCTATCCTCATTAAAGAATCAAAATGCAGATGCGTTGTCACCCGTGAGGACTAAGATAGAATGCCTCTTTTACAGTAAAAAAGGTCTCCGGTTCTCTACACTCACCATAAGTTAGTGTTAAGCTGCTATTTACGCTGGTATTCTGTGAGAGCGTGGTCCTTCTCCGGTTGAGCTGACCCATCCGTGCTACAACTATACTACAATATAGCTGCAGCATGGCTCTACCACGTACAAAATATTATGTTATGTATTACAAGGATAGCTATACAAAAATATATCTAGACATAAGAGTTATTGGTTGAAAACTACGAATGTTACGTAACTTCTAATTATTCAGGTATCTGTCTATCATCCAAATTAATTCGTGAAGCCTTTACAGGGCCGTTCGTAAAACTAATTGCATTCCGCAAAATGGTCAGGTAAGGGCGGTGAGCGACTTGGGCCACTCCTGACCGAAACTAATCTGTCTCACTAATTGTGTTAGCGACAACTTTGATCCTTATTCCCGACGTCGCTTCCCTCAGGATATGATCCAACAAGAAATTAGATTAGTTATAGTTGTTGGCTTCGCTAATAAACGGCGAAAAGTTCCGTAGTAAATAAACGGTGAATGATATTGATATGGAAAACGTACATATTTTTGCTTCAATAATACTTTTCGTAATGTTAGATCGTCCAGCCATTAAATACCACTGCAGAACAAAATCTGACCCTATAGTTTGCCTCATAGGAGGTATTAGGCAGGCGAATTGAAAACAGCAGTTTTATTATTATTATTTTAAGTTGTTATGTGAAAGATGCTGACTTACGATACCCACGAGACGATATCGGGTATATGCGATAGAATCGAATCTAGGCTAGGATGTAGTATCTCAGACACAAAGACAAACATAATACAACTACTAGTGCGATTAATGAGTATTGGTTTGCCGGTGGGAATCACATCGCAACTGCATTTTGTTTTCTATAAAATAAAATATTAATATTAGTTAAATAATGAAAGTGTAAGAAAACATAAACATGATCATGAGCTGTGTTGGAATACTAGGTCATAGTTATGGCATTATTATAATGTCACCGGTTTTTAATACGTTTTCAAAATTTCAGTTCACTCACAAGTTTCAAAGTGGGGTGAAAACTGAATTACAAAATTCCATTAAATTTATACATACATACATATTTTACAACACAATCATGACTCCGACTAGTGTAACGTACACAACTTGTGTCGTTAGTATTGACTCCGGCTGGAATTGAGACATACCTGACCATACGGTCACTATCTCCTATTACCTGCGAATACTAAAGTAATGCCAAATGGACTCCTAAATATGTTAAGTAGTGTAGTGCCGGATCTTATACGTCATATTTTATAAGTCGTATTTTACAAGTCGAAAAAGAACCTCATGGCCTCTTATACAATCGTCTCTAAAAATGCTTTATTAAAATATCCAATAAGCTAAAATATAAGAAATTTATTTTAGCACGCCTCATAACGCGAAGCGTTATAGGTGTGTTCTACTCTCGACACGTCAAGGTCTAGCAATTTTGTGTTTTTAAAATGTTCTTAAAATGCCTCTTTCATAGCCATATTGCACTTATATGATAAAAAGCCGTATATTAAAAAAAAACACCCTATTAAATCCATCTTATATTTTCTGAAAAATCATTTTATATTCCTACTTTGTTAAAAAGCGGTTTGAAAACAATTTACGGTTGATTTAGTGTCTGGTCACGAAAACTCCCGAAAAAATTGACGTATCGAGACCCGGCTCGTTATATTAGCTTCAGAATTACATCAACTGGTTCCCTATTTCATATCAATAGTATGCGTTATTTGTTAATAAAATGGTTTTCAACTTTTATAAGTTTTATTGCTTTAAAAAATTTAAGGGCACTGTCATATATTTTTTAGCATTTGATAGACAAAGGGAAAATGTACCATACAGCCTATATCGATTTTGTACTTCTTACTTAATGTAATAGATTTATTTTGGTAAACATTATTATTATTTATCCCTGTATGTAACACTACCTGTTAAAATAATAGAGCACTAAATTTAATACATGTAAATAATATAGTATATTAAAAGTCAGGAATACAGTTTATTTTTTTCATCAAAATTAAATAAAACGCTAATGAGGTGTACATACACTTTTGGACTTTCCAAACTATCTTTTTATGTACAACATGGGAATACACCACTCCCATGTTGGGTAAATACTTAAAAATTGTATCTTAGATTAGATAGGTCTTTCATAATCATTTAGCCTTTTGAACTTGGAATGAAAATAGGACAAGCACTGCAGCATATTATATACTTTAGAAAATAAGCATAACCCTATTACACATTTGGCCAAATTCTAATTTTCGTTTTTATTCTATTTAAATTAAAAATTTATTTTAAGGGAAAGTGACATGATAAGTTTGTGAAGAAAATTAAGGGGTTTTCAATTTAAAATTACTTATTTACGTGGTAGAGCCATGCTGCAGCTATATTACTAGTATAATTGTAGCACGAATGGGTCGACTCGACCGGGGAAGGCTCTCACAGAATACCAGCGTGAAAATACAGCTGAAAGCTGCTGTGACTCGTATGATAAGTGTAGAGAACCAAATACCCTTTTAACTGAAAACGAGGCATTCCATTTTAGTACTCACGGATGACAACACATCTGCATTTTGATTCGTAATCGAGGATAGATATAGTTTATTTATTTATTTATTTATTTTATTTTATTGTTTTTTTTTTTTTTTTTTAAAAAAAAAAAACCACCAAAAAAAAGGCCACCGCAACCACTTACCACCAGTTGGACTGTGTGCTCATTTGTTACCCTTATCCTATAAAAAAAATATGTAAGATTTTACTCTTAAACATTTTATGCTTAACCATAAATATTTAAAGCAAATACGCCGTACAACCGTTATATGCGGTACTTGAGTAGATTAAAAGAATAAACAGAACGCTCCCGGAAGCTATGGCGTCTCCTCAAAATGCATAGCCCATTACAAGAGCAAGTTTATTGTGATTTTGTGTTTAAACAAAGAGGGGCGGCGTTTTTACACGGCACTGTAATGAATTTTACCTCGGCGAGACATCGAGCGCTTAAAATATTCAGCGGCTGGAATGTAGGGTGTAGAGAATTTTGTACACCTCATTGAATAACATTGCTTCATGCATAATTTTTCGGTTTCGAATATTTGTCGCTTTCATGTCGCAGTAGTGTGCTTTCTTTTTTTTATAGGATAAGGGTTGCAAACGAGCACACAGTCCACTTAATGGTAAGTGGTTGCTGTGGCCCATAGACATCTACATCTATCTTCGATTACGAATCAAAATATAGATGCGTTGTCACTCGTCAGGACTAAGACGGAATGCCTCGTTTCCAGTAAAAAGGGTCTCCAGTTCTGTACACTCAGCATACGAAACACAGCAGCGTTCAGCTACTATTTTACGCTGGTATTCTGTGAGAGCGTGTTCCTTCTGCAATCAAGCCGACCCATTCGTGCTATAACTATACCACTATCACAGCTGCGAAATGGCTCTACCACGTAAACATCTTATTGGTATCTTGCACTAAATTTTTTGTGAGTTCTGTTTATTTCATAAAGGGAGAAGAGAATTCATTGATCACACTTATCTAATATAAGAGATAAAATATCCTGTTTGTTGGGCACTAGAAATAAATGCTGTTATAAAAAAAAGACTCCAACAAACAGTTTTCATAGGATGATTTCATAGGTCTAGATGAGCTTTGCAATTTATTTGACGTCACTTATTATGATATTTGATGTTGCCAGTGATGAAAATGGATCTCAGACGTGGTCCCACACTGCTCAAGGTCGCCCAGCGAGCTATAGAGATTGTTATACTAGAAGTTCCTCTGCGTGATAGATTTAAAATTGAGGATATCTGCAGTGGAATCAGAGTAAGCAACATATCACAACGGATAAGTAAGCTGAAGGGCAACGGGCCGGCCATATACGAGTATTTTGAAAAAAAGAAGAAAGAAAAAAAATAAAGAAAAACTATTTATTTTGACACACACATAAGGCACCAAGACACAGAAACGAAGTCAAAATAAAATACAAATTCAAGAACGAACAAACAGCCAAAAGTTAGGAAACAACGATAAATAAAATTAAATAAAGAAAGACCGACCGACGACCGACCGAAAAAGAAGCACCGACTACCGATGGGAAAGAAAGGTTCTCGTGTGGTAGCCTCGTACCGGTAAGCGACATCTAGAGCGGCGACCATTACATGGAGTTGATGACCTGAGTGAAAGATGCAGTAATTCAATAGATGTAAGTGGCGCAGACCCGTGCTTAGTGGCATTTCTTTTGGGAGACCTATGTTCCA